TCAGAGGTTGGAGAAGGAAAGAACTGGGTGGGGTGGCTGGAAGTAGAGAGGAAACCATGGGTTGCTTGCACCTCATCCTAGGCTTGGGGGGAGTTAGGAAATCCACTGGCCGATTCTGACTTGTTAGTACCACTTTTCCCCTGAGCCACAAATCCAGAGTCTGTCCTGACCCTCTGTGGTCTTGGCTGCCTCCTTCCCGGAAGCTGTGGCACTTGGTCCCCATTTGCTGTGCTTCCCTTGCACTTGCTGTGTGTGGGTTCTCGCCCACGCATCCCTTTGGTGAGGCTCCGAGGCTGAGCTGGTGTCTGAATGATGTGCTGCATGGCGTCGTGGCCCACTCTAATGAGAAACATCCCCGTCCCATGTGACGCAAAGCTCTCCCCGTTTCTGAGTAAGATGGGAAGTCCTTGGTTTTTACGTGTGTGCTCCTTCTGCACAGAATTACCTCAGTGGAAGGACTTAAGACCTCCGAGGGCAGGGCCAGCGGCCCTCCACCTCACTGTGCTCGCCTGTATATGCCATGTCCTCGCCTGATCCATTCTGCAAGGAAGACTAATGTCCCACCTTGGTGGCATGCAGTCAGTGCTGGAGTAAATACTGGAGGGATAACAAAGGGAATGAGATTAACAATGTTCAGATTTCCTCTCAATTGACTTTCTCTCCAGCATTAATATGTGGCCCGGTGTGCTTTCCTGCAAACAGCTACAAAACAGCTTTTCGTAATGAATGTCACATTCAAATTCCGGTAGTGCAGTTCACTCGGCTTTGCTCCTCAAACTCAAGCTTTGTTCACTGCCTAGTCCAAACAGAAGAGTCCAGAAGTTGTAGAAGTAAAAGGAATATGAGTTCATGGAGCTTGTTGCTATAGGCCATCTTTGCACCTCCCCAGTCTCTCAGCTGCTCAAGCACCCTACTCACTGGAGTAATGCACTCAGAGTCGGTGATGGACAGACAAGAGGCCTGACAGGGGCATGAGGCCCTGCAGTCTAAGGGACCTCTGACAGTGGAACCAGGATGCATCCCTGGTGCACAAAAGGACTTTGGGAACACATTCCCCATGGAGGGATACTCCCTTAGCCTAGAGGCAGGAGGGAGGGCCTAGACCCTACTCCAAATGACTTGACAGATTTAGATGACCCCTGGGGGGGGGGGAAGTGTGGAAGAGAGGGAGGGAAGGACAGACGGAAAGGGAACTAGGATCGATATGTAAAATAAGAAAAATAATGAAATAGAAAGAGAGAGAGAGAAGGCCCTGAAGTCACTCTGAGCACGGAGAAGACTAAAACTGGGTTATTACAGAAACTTTAAAGTGAGTGTTGATCAGGGGACGGTTTTCACTGTTGTGAAAGGATGGGCGGCAGTGTGGGATGCAGTTCTCATCGCTCTGCAGAAGTTACATTGAACCCTACATGTAAAGGATTAACAGTTGAGGTGTAAGGGACAGGGGAAGCATTACAGGGAGGTGGCCCCTAGCATGGAGAACACATACACACAGAGTGGCAAGTGGGGGGGGGGGGAGGCAAGCCAGAGATGGATATGTGTGGGTAGTTTTTTGTCAGGACTGCTAGCCCCCCACTAAACACACAGACTTAATATTAATTATAACTGCTCAGTTGATACCCTAGGCTTGTTGCTAACTAGCTCTTTTGTTTTGTTTGTTTTTATTTTTCGAGACAGGGTTTCTGTGTATTGCTTTGGAGGCTGTCCTGGAACTCAGAGATCCTCCTGCCTCTGCCTCTGAGAATGCTGGGATTAAAGGTGTGTGCCACCTCCGCCCGGCTACTAACTAGCTCTTACAACATAAATTAACCCATATTTCTTAGCTAGTTCTACCACATGGTACATAGGCCATAGGCCTCATTTTCTATATAGGTCCTGCTTCCTCTGTTGGGCTCGTGACTCCTCTGACTCTGTCCTTCTTCATCCCAGCATTCTCTCTGCCCCAGAAATCCTGCCTAGCCCCCGGCCAATCAGCTTTTTATTAACAATGAGAGTAATACATATTTGCACTGTACAAACATTGTTCCATACAATATTGCAGTGTATAAAGGTTGTTCCACAGCAGATGTGGGAGGGCCCAGCCTATTGTGAGTGGTGCCATTCCTAGGCTGGTGTTCCTGGGCTCTGTAAGAAAGCAGGCGGAGCAAGCCAGTGTATCAACCCTCCATGGCCTCTGCATCAGCTCTTGCCTCCAGGTTCCTGCCCCTTATGAATTCCCTTCCTTACTTCCTTCAGAGGTGGACTAAGATGTGGAAGTGGAAGCTAATTAAACCTTTGCTCCCCAAGTTGCTTTGGTCATGGTGTTGGTCGCAGCAGTAATAACTAACTAAAATCTCTATCCACATCTTCCTCCCTTTAGGGACTTTTCACTGCTACTTCTTCCTCGTCAAGTACTGTGCCCACTCCCATGTCAAGCCCTTCCATTTGGTTGAAGTAAAATGTCTTGTGATGTGAAACATCCTAAAGATGAAGGAAATTTGAAGCCACCAACCTGTAGAATTATAAGTCTGGTTAAACGGTGTGGTTCTGATTCTGTTTTGTTACTTGACTAGGTCAGTAGGCAGTGCTCCGCTCATCCCCTTATTGATGGAACAAATTCATGTACTGCATGACCAAATGAAGGGGGACTGTGTGGGAAACAGCCAGTTTGTAGAATGAGGACTTGCTCTTTGTGGTTGTGAGCCTCGCCTCTCACGGCCCAGCCGTCTGTCCATCCCTGTGAAGACATTCTTCCGTTTGATGTTGAACACTACCCTGGCTTTCTGTTTTCTTGGCCCAGATTGTAGATAGGCACACAACTTGAAGTCGAGAGCTGCTCTAGGCTGCTGAAATGTTCCGTGGCTGCTGTTAGTGTGGACCCACTGGGCTGCACCCACAACTGTGTGTTTGTGTGAGCCCAGTGGGGCGCACCCACAACTGTGTGAGTATTTGTGTGGACCCACTGTGGCACACTCACAACTGTGTGATTGAGTGGACCCACTGGGCCACATAGTTGTGGAACTATGTGATTGTTTGTGCAACAGCATCTTAGCAGCCTCCCAATCAATCATTCTTTGTAATCCTGCAAAAATGTCGTTCTTGGCACCTAAACTGAGATCCTTTGTGCCTGACCCATAATTTTTCCATTTATGAATCCAGTTTAATTAAAAAGTAGTTTATGAACTTGTCCTATTTTTCAAGTGTAATGGCAGACGTGCACATTACCTGCATGCCAAGCCTTTGTGCTTACTCCTTCACACTCACTCCTTTAGCAAAGCCAGCTGCAGAAGGTGTGGGAGGCAGGCAAGCCGCCTGGGTAACCCAGGTTCATTGCTGCCACCTGCTGGGGCCTGGTTGCTGGGATGGGAAAGCTGACCAAGAGACAGAATACTCAGCCTTCCAAGAACCCTTGCATGAGCTCTAGTTCTCAGCTGTTAAATTTCTAAATGGTATCCTACCCCTGGCTGAATGGGTTGTGTGTAGGTAGGAGTGTGACTTTTTGGTAACCTGCAGTGTCCTGCAGAGGTTCAGTGAACAAAAGATATCAAGGGCTCACTGACCCTGGAGTGTCAGAACTGCAACAGCCTTAAAGCAGATCTGGTAGAACTTCAGAGTAGTTAGATGAATCAGCTAGGGACTTGGCAAAGGCAGACTTCCTCTTGCCTAGCATGGTGGAACATGCCCCCGGTACCAGCACTCTCAGGGAAACAGACGAGGAAAGATCACAAGTTTGAGGGCCAGCCTGGACAGCTTAATGAGCCCTTGTCCCAAAAAACAAGGACAAGTCTGGGTGGGGTGTGGTGGCATTCCTGAGGCTGAGACAGGCATATCTCTACTAGTTTTCAACCAGCACACATAGAGAGTTGCAGGCTATATAAGTCAAACCCTGTTTGTAAGGTGAGGGGCATAGTGTCATATACCTTTAATCCCAGTACTCTGAAAGCAGAAGCAGGTAGATTTCTATGAGTTTGAAACTAGCTAGACATACATGCACTGAGCTTGGTAAAGACCCACGCACAATGTGATGTGAATAGTATTGCACACAGTGCAAATATCACCTAGGCAAGAGCCCCTCAGCCATTACTGCTTCTCCTCTCAGTGACTTATCTCTCCTCCTGCAATGAGAGGAGCCATCTTAATATTGTGACTGATTCTTTGAAGCATATAGGCAAATTAGGTTGATTGGTTTTTCTGTAGCAGAACAGATCACTTGTGAATAAAACTTCTTTCTCTTCTTAGGAGCTACTATAATTTGGTCAGTTTATAGGGGGCACTTCAGTGGGCTTTAGAAACAGGCAGGGTTCGTAGTACACTTAGCATAGTCATAATTTCCATGACTCCAGTAGTAAGGTGGTAAGCACGTTCTCAGGGACATAAATAGTGTACGCCGAGCACAAGAAGCCTAGGCCACTGTAGTTTCGACGTGTCTCATTATAGTTCTTAGCCCTCTCCCTGCGTTGGCAGGCTCAGCAACACAAAGATAATACTGTTCCTTATTCTACAGGAAAGAGGTATTCTGAAACTCAGAGTTTCAAGAGCCATCTTAGGTTGGATGGGGTGTGGCTCTCAGTTCTAATCCCAGCACTCTGGAAGCCGAGGCTTGGGAGTTGAGGCCTGATACATATCGGGTTCCAGACCAGCCAAGACTGCATAATGAGATCCTGTCTTTAAAACAAGAAAACCCATCTTAAAAGTGTGAATTCTAGATGCTTGTCATGTGCTTGCTTGACTACTACCTTCCATCCCTGCGTGTGTCATTTGTGTGTATGCTCCGAAACTGCTGATTGCAGTCTGTGGACTTAGTCCGTTAAGCCACTGAAATCAAGAGCTCAGCGAACATTGAGCAGCCATTACTTAAAGTGTGTTTTCCTCTAAACCATTGTCTTTATGAGACATGGTTGTGTGTTTACTGGGGTGTGCATTATAGAGCTGTTGAACCTCTTCACAGTGTATTTAGTGTATTTCATTTTAAGTGCTATTCTATGCCTTGATAATCGCTGTGATCCCTTTTTGGTTTTTAGGGCTACCTGAAAGAAATCTTGAAAGAAATCGGCATTCAGAATGTAAAAGGGATTCACAAGAATACATGGGAGCTGAAGCCCGAGTACAGGCATTACCAAGCAGAAGAGAAGAGTGACTGACAAGCATGTGCTGGGACACTTAAAGGCAGCCGTAAGCCAGCGGCTCGCTCCAGGCTGACCACCTGCCATGACAGCAGTTCCTCTCAGTAAACTGTTAAAGCTGGGATTCCGTAACGTTTCTTAAGTGTTTTTTGGAGAGAACGATGTTATTTATAAACTAACTTGTGTTAAACCGTAGCTTTCAGCTGGGCGTGCTAGCTCATGCAGGAGTCCAACACTTAAGAGGCTGAGGCAGAAAGAGGTGAGGTTGAGACCAGCCTGGAATACACAGCAAGACCCTCCCCCACAAAAGACAAAATGTTCTCATGGTGTAGACGGGGTGTGGGAATTGGAACCGCTTTTATTTTTAAGGGGTAACTTCTCAAGTATAAGTAGGATAGTTCCTAAGTCAAAATTGTCTGTCTCTGAGGAACTAAGGGAAGATCCAAAGGGAAGGGGAGAGTGGGAGGGAGGGCTATCAACTACAGAAAGGAACACAGAGTCCAAGTTTCTTTTTCTGAAGCTGAAGAAGGAACTTGTCTCCAGAGGTAATTTTCACCTTCAAGCATACATTAATAAAGGGATCTGTTCGCTTTCTACTAAATGGCAACTTTTCTCACTGGCTTACTTTATCCTTATGTTACTGTAAGAGAAACAGAACTGTAGATGTTAATGTTCCTTTTGTTTACTTTTAAAACTGCAATCAGGGCTGGAGGGTGGGGAAGGTTCTGGGCAGGCACTGTTCCGCAGAGGACATGAGTTTGGTTTGCAGCACTCAACTAACTCACAGCTGCCACCTGTGACTCCACCACCAAGGGATCTGTGCCCTCATCAGGTCTCCAGGCGTCCACACATACATACATCACACAGACACATAAATGAAAATATCTTGTTAATCTTACAGTAATGATTGAAAAGTAAACACCTTTCCGATCTCGGAATAAATCTGCTCTGACAAGATGTTAAGTCCCTTGAAGACTGGCCTTGCCTGAGGATTTGACTTCCCGCTCTGCAGGCAAGGCCTAACCCTTGGCTCTCAGATCCATCGCTAACTGAGTCGGGGCTAGAGGGTGATACAACTGAGGAGGAAAAGGCTGGCACTGTTACCTAGAGCATCGGATGCCCTTTTCTCGTCATCTTTATTTGATTGTGGATGGAAGCAGTCCATCCACACCTTGAGTTTCTTCAAGACAAAATGTGGTATGTGAAAGCAGTCCAAAATCATACCTGCAAAGAAAAAGATGCTTCCACAAAGTAAGCACAGGAAAAATCGCTCTGCCTCTGGATGCCTACAGCCAAGCCATACAAATGCTGGAAATGTAAGAAAGTGTTAAATAATTAAAGCAAGAAATAATTTTACATTAAGAGAAGGAACTTAGCAGTAGTGGTACATGCCTTTAATCCCAGCACTCGGGAGTCAGAGGCAGGTGGACCTCTGAGTCCCAGGACAACCAATACTACACAGAGAAGCCCTGTCTTGAAAAACCAAACTAAAGGAAAAAGAGAAGAAACTTACAACACTGTTTGCTTTTAGTGGCATATCACCAGAGTGCTAAGGTTGAGTGCTACAACCTCAGAAAAGTGTTGTCTTTGTCCTCCCACTGTAAGATACAAGCCTGGTAAGGAAGGTAGTCTTAGTGCCCACCCGCCCTCGACAGTCTTACGTGCCTCGTTTGATGCAGGAGCCAAATACGCCCTGCCCTTGGTCTCTGCTTTCTAAAGATCTTTTACTTGTCCTTTGGTGATTTCTTACATGTGTTCATTGATCACATCCACTGCAGCTTCCAGCCCCTCCACTTCTGGATGACTAGAAGCCGAATGTCCGGAAGCCATGTGGTGGTGTGTGGTGGCTGCCGAACTCAGTGTGATGGGTAGATTGTACAGTAGGTACCTTCCCGCAGAACTTGCGGTCTTTGCTCTGTGCTACTTCTCAGAAACACAAGGGTGCCTCCTCTGCTCAGTTTGCTTTGTGGATGTCAGTCATACCACGATCTCATTACTAGAACACCGAGTTGGGAATTATACTGGACGGGTCTCTTAAGTCTTACCTCTAGTTTGGTTCAGTTGTTCTAGATCAGACAGCCTGTTGGCTGCTTTACCTTTCATCCAGCCGGCGAGATAGATACTCAGAAGCCTGACTTGACTCCCCATGAATATTCTGGGGCAGCTGGGCTTCCCAGAGACAGCAGAGCCCTTCCTTGCAGTCCTGCTGGGTACACTCCTCAGGAGCCGTTGTCAACTGGATGGAAAGAGGAAAGGTGGGTTCCAAGAGGACACACGAGACAGAACAGCAGCAGGCCACCATACAGCTCTTTAGGACAGTCTGCTGTCTACCTTGACATCCTTGTAGCCCACCAGTGATGCCCTCCCCAGGACACCACTGTGACATTAGTCAGCGCTCACTCAGCTGGGGCTTCAAAGGCGTCTATCAGATGTCTCCAAAGAGACAGCACTGTGGCAGGAACTTCAAAAGTAAATACTGCTCTTTCCACAATGATGCTAAAGGGAGGCTTTCTCAGTTATGTAAACCAATGTGTTCACCATACAAAAAATATTGGCATCAAAACTATAAAAATATCTCTCAGAACCAGTAACAAAAGAGATCACATTTTTTAAATGGGCAGTAACAGACACTTCTTGAAGGATTGGATCAGTAGCACACTGGATCAGGATAGCACCTGAAAAGCTGCCCAACCATCAGTGGTCACTAGAGAAACAAAATTAAGACCACAAAAACATGCCATATGCCTGTTGGGTAGGTAAAACCTCTCTGGAAACCCGGCAGTATCGGGCTGGTGAACGAGGAGAGCTGCCAGAACTCACAGACACTGTCCGTGGACCTGCAGAATGACGTAGCTCTTGAAAAAAGGCTTCTTAGAGAATTAAACGTGCAACCTGCTACCAGGAGATGAAGATGCACACGTAGCTTTAGTTTGAATCACCAAAACATGGAAACCACTCAGATGTGCCCCAGCCCGTAGATCAGACTGCAGTGTAGTCATGCAATGCATCTTCCCATTGTGCAGTGGGTCTCTAACCATAGTGAAGATAAAGGACTGATCCACGCAGTCAAATAGATCTCTGGAACATTTGATGTGGCTACCTACTGTGTGCCTTACTACAGATAAGTCTTGTCAGGTGTGGTGGCATTTGCCTGTAACTCCACCAGAAGGTAAACTGAGGCTAGAGGACTGCACTTCCAGACAAAGCCACATAGCAAAGGCCCTGCCAACAGATAGTTTTAAAGGAAGATAGCAATTTGTGTGTGAGAAAGAGACATTAGGGATTTAGCCTCAGGCCTGCGCGCACTGGGCATGCTCACTACAAGGCCCCAGTATCCCAACAGGCCTTGCGCTTTGGATCCTCTCACCTCAGGCTCCTGAGTAGTCAGGGTTGTAGGCCTGTACCACTAGGCCCTGGTAATTACCAAACTGACTTTTTTTCAAAATTAGAGTGAAAACTGGAACAAATGTCTATTAACAGGGAAGGTCAAGTAACTAGTCAGTAATGGAGTGTCTGCAGCAGTTTAAAAGAGGTGGTATATTGTGAACTGACAGAATTTCCTGTGTTTAAGTGGAATAATCCTGTTTCAGAACAATTTTAAGGGCTGGAGAAATGGCTCCGATGTTAAGAACACTTGATAATCTTGCAGAAAACCCAGGTTTGGCTCGCAGCACCTGTAGTGATTCATAGCTCTCATAACCCCGACTCCAAAGGATCCGATGGAGTGCCTTCTGACCGCCAGACACGTGGTCCATATACATGTGTAAGCGGAAGGGCAGAACACTCATGCACATAAAATAAATAGGAAAATTTAACATGTTAATTGTGGGTGATGGAAATTCTGCATAATGTAAATAGGAGAACTTTAAAACACTTTGTAAGATGCTGGTTACAGTAATAAAAATGGCTATTTCTATGTGAGCCTAGATGTTTGTAAACACAAGAAACTGCCAGAAGAAACATACCTACCTTACAGTACTACCTGTGGGGGAGCAAACAAAGGGCAAAACAGGGTGTTTCTCTCACTGGTCTGTACATTGGAACTGTATTCGTGTGTGTGTGCGTGTGCGTGTGTGTGTGTGCGCGCGCGTGAGTCTCCAAGCTCAAAGAGATAGAGTACTGCTAACAAAGTTGATTAGCTTAAGGCTGTTCCAAGAAATACATGGGGTTCCATTTCTCCCTGCCTGGGCTTTAGTTAGAAGATACCTCAAATCCTGCCATGGAGCAAGAACACCCTCCAGAGGACTGAGTGTGGGTGAAAGGGGTAGACATAGTTCACCCAACGTTTAGCAAGTTTCACACACGTGCCCCGAGCTCTACACAAGACAGGGCCCTGCAAATGGAGCCTTTTTACAGTGTTGCCGCTCTGAACTGGTTTGCCTGTTGCCTTGGTGTATTTCCTGGGGTTACTATTGATAAATTCCACCCTTTCCAAGGAGCATTGCATCAAGTCCATTAGAAGAACCACCACAAAAGACCAGTGCTGGAGCGAAGTGTTTATGTGACACATTGGCTTGGAGGAAGAAGCCCAGCTTGGCCTTGATTTGCCAGGTGTTTGAGAAAAGTAATCCCATGTGAACAGGAAGCCACTGAAGTCAGAGAGGACACTGGGGTAGTGAGAGATGGGCCAAGAACACAGACACTGGAGTGTGCCATAAGGGAAAGGCTGTTTCTAAGCAATAGACAGTAAAACCGTCTGAACAGGCATGCTAACTCATGCCTTTAATCACAGCATTCAGGGTGCGAAGCAGATGGATCTCTGATTTAGTGGCTAGCCTGGTCTACATAGCAAGTTTCAGACTAGCCAGGGCTGAGTAATAAGCTCTTGTTAGAAAGGAGGTCCGGGTGTGGCCTGCATGGACAGCAGTCATGAAGCTGAAAGGCTAAGGTTTGAACTGAAAGCTTTGATTATTGCCAGCCCACAACATACCCACTCCACTTTCTGGCCTGTAGAACCTAGGAAGGTGGAACCGATCATCCTTGCTGCACGCAGTTGGTTTTGCCAGCAAAGACATCTGTCTCTATTGAAGTAAAGACAGGTAGCCATTCGTGTGCAGAAAGGCCTCAGAGTGGCTACAAGAGGTCTTTCCTGCTGCAGTGTAGCTGTGGAGGGAAGGGGGAAGCATTACTCACCAGGCTTTCTGTCCTGCTCAAAAGGAAAGCTTCCGTACTCTCAGACAGCGTTGGCAGGTGGG